ATAAATTTTAAATTTTTAAACTATATTTCAATATAAAATTTGATTAGTGAAACATAAAATTAAGATAAGAGAAATAATTTGATTTATGCAAAACATATTTAAGAATAGATATGTATATACTTAAATACTTAAAGCTATAATCTTAGATATGTATTATATAAATTGTATAATTATCAAAAAATGAAAAAAAAACTTTTTTTCTAAAATGTATAGATATCAAAAGAAAACGAATGGTATTAATTAGAAATTTATATATTTTAAAAAGCTTGTATGAAATTTTGAAAATATTGTTTAGTAATAAAAATTGTATAATTATACAAAAATATACCAAATTATATTTTTATTATAATATTTAATGTTATATTTAAATATTAATGATGATTTATGAGTTATTACCCTATTTAAAAAAAAAAACAATTACCAAAACTAGAAATCAACATTAAATATAATTGTTCAAATCATTTTTTAAATAATTATATAGGTAGAGAATGTCTAGATCATCATTCACAATCTGCACTGGAGCTGTTAGTTTCCAGTAGATTTTCTTATTCAAAATCGAGTAAGAAAGTCTCTTCTCTTTTGATATAAGCATGTATTTCACGAGTTAAATAACATATTATACTAGGTGTTTTCCTACATCATATGTAGCAATAACATATTTAAATTTAAATTTATATTAAAAAGATTTTTATATCAATATTTCAATATAAATTTTGATTTACACTACAAGAAAATGTGACTGTAACGACTACACCTTACAACGACATATGTAGTCGTCATTTTACGTCTAACTAACGACTGTATAACAATGAAAACAAGAGTATTCATAAATTGGTTGTAAAATACCTAGGAAATGATTTAGTCGTAAACAAGTCATAACGGAACGACTAGATTACGACGAAACATAGTAATCGTCGTAAAGCATAAGTTACTTTACGTCTTATTTAGGAAAAATATTTTTGCATCTAGTTGACGAGTAAATTACGCTTACGTAGTAGTTGGTTCGTAGTAAATTGTATTTAGTCGTAAATTCGTGATAACATCCCCACTTACTAATTCGTTGTAACATGTAGTTCATACTTCGTCGTAATTTTACCTATGTCACTAAATGGTCGTTACATATAGTCTTTACTTCATCGTATTTCATTTTAGTCCCTAAATCGTCGTAATCTGGTACACGTGTCGTCCTTAATCAATCGTAACGTATAGTCCTTCATTTGTCGTAACTTAGAAGTAATTAACTTCTAGATTACGATGACTACCAAAATTCTATATAAATCCGCGAGCAGTCGAGCCCATTTCGTTGCAATCTCCTCTCTCTAACAGCCACTTCATCTCCACTTTTTCTCTCTAAGGTATTTTTTTTTAGTTTTAGTTTTAGATTTAGATGGTTAATTTAAGATGGAATTAGATTAAGTTTGCAGTTTAGAATGAAATTAGATTAGATTTAGATTAAGTATTTAGTATTAGATTATTTTTTATAATTAATTTTAAATTAATTGTTTATAATTTTTTTTTTAAAACAGATAGACGATATGGCTACTGGTAGAAAGAGAATTAGGAATCTTACGGTGTCCAGCAGACCTTCATATGGAGATACATTTCTCGATCGGTCGGATCCATCAGCTTTTAGCTCCAGTACTGCATCCGCCCGGGATTTTGTTCCGAAGAGCCAAGAGAAAGGAAGATCTCCGCATATGACTCACCGTCATATGTGCCTCCTGCTCCGTATGTGCCTCCAGTTCAGTATGAGGCGGCTCATCCTCAGTATGAACCTCCTCCATACTATCTTCAGAATGACCCACCATACCATCCTGATCATCATGAGGAGCATGCCCTAATCCAAATCATAATGTTGCCCCAGTTCCCGAAGCCGTTCCGGCTCCTCCTCCTGATGTCCATCCGGATTTGCTAGTACCACCGACTGCTCCCTATGCTAGATTTACGGTGGACGACCTTTTCCAGATGCCGGGACGGGAAGGTTTACCCATCATCGACCCATACCGACCAGGTAATACTTTCAGGTAATTTTTGAATTTTTTAACTATTAAAATTTCTTACAATTATATATCGATCTAATTCTTTTTTTAAAAAAATTGTAGGTTTGCCATGGACAATTGCGTGGGACGGAGCGTTTCAGAAATCATAAGGCAAACTTTCGGGAAGCGCATCCAAACAAGAGTCTTACAACGGACCACATTTGGAGGACTTGGTTAAAGTGCTTTGCGGTAAGTTTTTTTATTTATTTATTTAATTAATTCATTTTGAATTTTATTTAATATTATTAATTTCTTGTTTAAATCATTTAGCAAAAATGGAATTGGTCTACTGCTGTCAGTGAAAAGATGAAGGCATGGTTCTAAGATAAGGTGAATCTACGCCTGAAGAACATTGTTGGCGATTGGAATGAGAAGTGGAGGGTTTTACAAGATGCCCAAAACCTTTCTACTTCAGCGATCACGTTTTGACTGGCTTGAATGTTTGTTGGAATTTGCCTAAGTCAGTTTCAAAGTCACCCCCTTCCTCCACGACCCAGTTGACGAGTGATGCTAACAGTGATTTTCCATCGCCACACATTTCCGGCCAGACCCCATACGTCGAGAAAGCCCTAGAAATCGGAAGTACTACAACGTGCCTTATTTTTTTAATTATTAATAAATTGTTTATTGAATGCATGCATGAGTTTAATTTAAAATTTTTTGTTAGCCGCTCGGGAAAGAGCACCACTATCTCTTTCTCGGCTTTACAAGATGATGCACCAACATTCTGATGGGACGTCTGTAGATTCCTGAGCAAAAAAGATCTACAACAATGTGGAGGCTTGGATTTATGAAGTCCATACCCAATTGTCGCAACAAGACGAACTTCACCGTCGAATAAGACAAAACATTTGAGCAGGTAATCTTAATTAATTATAATTATATTATTTTTATATACGACAATTTAAGCTTTTAGTTTTATATATGTACTTATTTTTATTTATTTCATTAATCGAATGAAGGTCATCCCAAAGAAGCGGGGGCGGATAGTCGGGATCGGTACGGTGAATGATGTCCCGAGGGCGAAAGATGAATACGCTTAAAGAATGAATGACGAATCTCATCTCCGGGAAGATTTGACGACTGCCAACCAGGTTATCTCGGATCTTCGGGTGGACAACCAGACCAATATGAGCCACATTAGGGCCATGGCGGAGATGTTCAACATTATTGCTGAGACGAACGCAGTCATTGCATAGCTGTGGCAGAATAGACGTCCGACCATTAAACTTGACCCCACTCCAGAAGAGCAGGCGCAAAGGGAGTAACAGGTCACGGCGCACAACTCTGACTTCTTCAACGACAACAACTTTAATAATTAGTTTTTCGGTTTTGTAATTTAAATACATATATATATATTATTTATTTTGGATATATTCGACTTGTAAAATAAAATTTGCATTTTATAAATTATTAATTTTATAAATTACAAATTTTAATTTAAAATTAAAAATATTAATATATCTAAATTATTTAGTCGGGCATAAATTAGTCGTAATATATTAAACATATTCAAAGTAATTAGTCGTAATATTTACGTCTACCTTACGTCGACAGTATATGTCAAGTCGTCGCAAAACCTACGACTAATTTAATTCTGAATAATGTCTGACAATTACAACTACTTTACTTCTAAACATTACGACCAATTGACCTCGGATGTACGTAACTTTACGTCTCGGACAACATCCACTTTAAGACTACAAACTTTATGACCAAATTACGACGAAAATTATTAGTAGTACACTTTACGACGATTTTACGTATAATTGTCCATTATGACGGGCATTTAACGACGAATCGTTACTCATCGTCAAATAGTCGTAATAGGTAAATTACGACAACATAACGACTAAAAGTGCGGTCGTTACGCTCACGTGTTCTCGTAGTGTTAGTTAAACATAAAATTAAGATAAAATAATAAATTTTATTTGGATATCCATGTAATATTAATTACCACACTTGTAATAATATCCATCACAATTATTTATGTAAAGTATATTTAAGAATAGATATGTATATATTTAGAACTATAATCTTAGATAGATTTGCATTTATTTCTTTGGATTAAAATATATTAAATCAACTTTTCTAAAATTATAAATGATATAAATTGTATAATTATAAAAAACTAAAACAAAAAAAATTCTAAAACTTTGCAGATATCAAAAGAAAACAAACGATATTGATTAGAATTTTTTTAAAAAAAAATTCTAGATATCAAAAGAAAAAAATGGTATTGATTAGACGTTTATATATTTTTAATTTTTTTATAAATTTTTGAAAACGTTGTTTAGTAAAAAAACGTACATGATCATATAAATATACTAAAATAATATTTCAAGATTTGTGAAAGATTTTATATTTTTTTATTTATAATATTTATTGATATATATTAGTGATGATTTATGAGTAATTAACATATTTAAAAAAATTACCGAAATAGAAATTAACACTAAATGTAATTATTCATGTCACATTTTACTTTAATATTTGTCATATTTTTTATTATGTCAAGTCACAAGTTTTAGTGAATAGTGATGATATGCAAATTACTTTTCAAATAATGACTAGCTAGAGAATTTCTTAATCCTCATTCACAATCAGCACTGGAGATGTTAGTTTCCATTAGATTTTCTTATTCAAAATCGAGTAAGAAACTCTCTTCTCTTTTTTATATAATCATGTATTTCACGAGTTAGAGTACTATAATCTGGGGTAGCGTTTCACACCAGTAGAATATAATAATACAATTATTTAGTTAAATAGTTGAACAAATTTAACAGAACTGAATATTTCAATAAAAATAATAAAGTATCGTGATTTAAGCAACAGAACCTAAAATTCTATCGACATAATAGTCAAAGGTTTTGTCCCCATGCAATGTATTATTGCAATTAAAAAACTGGACTCCTTTTACACGTATCTACAATCTACACATGAGCACATGTCTTGGCATTTGGCGACCCCATGTCATTTATAAACCCCAACGACACCACCTCCACCGCCATTAACTGAAACAAATCTTAACTTAAAAGATCCAATCTTCATCCATTTTCTTGTTCTTGTCAGAGCAAACAACTAAAGATGGGTAACAGTTTAGGGGGCAAGAAAACGACCAAAGTCATGAAAATAGACGGCGAGACATTTAAACTGAAAACCCCAGTGACGGCGGAGGAAGTCTTAAAAGACTTTCCCGGCCACGTTTTGTTAGAGTCCGAATCTGTCAAGCACTACGGTGCTCGAGCCAAACCACTTGAGGTAACGTTTTCATGTTGTAGATACTTTTGTTCTTAAAACTAATAACTTTGGATGGATATAATGTAAAGGTTCATACAAAACCAGAGTTGATCTTCAGTATAGTGAAATGAAACATTCATCTAGGGTCCTAAAAATATTAGTGGTTAATGTGTATACATATTAGTTCGATTGCAATTTGCAAATACTTAAAAATATATATATGTCTAGTAATTGTTACATCTCCATGAACCTCTGAACCGGTCATGTAAAAAAATACTGACTGCACATAGCCAAATGAAACATTGGTATAACTCTTTAAACGTTATATAGACAGACATAAATTTCAAAATTTGTAAAAATATTTTTTTATTGAAATAATTTTTGTTGGGGTGTAGATGAAGCAGAGGTTGGAGGCGAAGCGGCTGTACTTCGTGGTGGAGCCGGTGAAGGAGTGTCCACCGAGAAGGGTAAGATCGGGAATTCACATGAGTGCCAAGGAGAGGCTTGAGAACCTCATGCTTGCGCGTAGATCATCTTCCGATCTCTCCATACTCAAACCGGCGGGAGAATGGTCTACGACGGAGGAGAAAGAAGGAGGAGCGGTGAGAGTGAAGCTGAGGATTACCAAGGCGGAGCTGGAAAGACTCGTTAAGGAAGGAGCCACCGAGGCGGAGGCCACGCAGAAGATCGCCGCTCTCTATATGGCCAAACAGAGCCACAACGAAGAGACGCAGAACACACTGCAACGTCGTGGTGATGGAGGAGACCAGCCTACCGCCGTCATAGCTACAGCTACAGCCGCCGCCACGAGAGGAGCCAAGTCTCGTCTGGTGAGTAATATTGTTTCTTCTTTTTGTGCATAGTAAAAGAAAATAGTCAAAAATATACTAATTAAGTCGTCACTTTTAGAATATGGCACACTTTTGAATAATAATTAAATGTGTTGAAAATAATTCAAATTTTCTCGGACTAGATTGCTTACAGTTTTGAATAATAATAATGTGTTGAAAATGATTCACTTTTTATCGGAGTAGATTGAGATAACTTTGCTAGAGTCAAACTTTGCATGCTGCTTTTACACTTAGATATGTTAATATACACTTAACACTCAAGAACTTGATTTTTAAAATATGATTCTTTTTTTTGGTAAAATATGAATTTTTGTTGTTGCTAAAAAAAAAAAAACATTACTTAATAATGTTGAAAACATTTGATATGCAGAAACGAGTGAGTTTCATGGCGGAAAGAGGAGGAAACGAGATCACCGTTGCTTAAAGTTGGAACCATCAATAACATATTATGTATATGCATATAGAATGCTTCATCCATGTCTTCCCAACGTTCGTTGTACATAAAGAGCAGAGAGTTTCGGGAGAGAGAGAGAGCTAATGAATATATTCATCCATGTCTCTGCTATGTAGCTAGAGTTTTATAGTATTGTTTAGGTTACCAAATGAAACAACGGTTTATTATTTTGTAGTCAGATTCATCACTGTCTCTCTTCTCATTTATTGATCCTCTGTTTCTTGGGAAAATCTCTATAACTTCTAGGCTCGTTTTGTCCTTCTTCCGACCTCAAGAGCCAACTCTGTATCAATCTTAAGTGATATGTCCAACGCTTTCACCGAATGGGTCAGAGCTCCACTGCATCAAGATATCTCTTTCAGTTTTTCATCCGACCAAGAAACCAAAACTTGAATTTGAGAACTAACCTGCTAATGAATGTAACTCCACTCTGTCCGATCTTGTGTACTGTCTCAATAGTAACGTTTCCCGAAGCCTGCATCATGAGTTTAGAGTTGTTTTTTATTAGAGGGTTACACTAATGATAAGTGACATCTTTAATACATACACACACACATACCTCTGTCTCGACTCTTCCATTGATTAGCTCCACCGCATCTTTAAGCATGGTGACATCAACGTCTCCATTCTCTAACGGTACAACCATATTGTCCAGCATTATTCTCGACACCCTAGTCTTGGATCCACTCACATACTCTAACACTTCCTTCACTTCCTCTAGTGTCCGCGTCTCCACCTTCATTAAGAATATATAGATAGTGATTAGAACTTGTTTCACCTCAAACTTTCAGCCACTACTAAGTCTTTGAAAGGTTTTAAGATTCACCTCCACATCCATTTCGAGATTCTTTATCTTTAGATACTCGTCCACAGATCTAATAGCATTTATTATACCTCCTGCAGCTGAGATGTGGTTATCTTTTATCATCACCATGTCAAACAATCCCATTCTATGATTCTTCCCTCCACCAATCAGCACCTAAGCTAAGTAAGAAAACTTCCGGTGTATCAGAAAGATAAAAACCTCAGAAACTTAAAGAAAAGATTAAAAATTTTGTGACAAATGTGTCTGGAGGTGCGAGGAAGAAGTGTAGAACGTACCGCCCATTTGTCTACCAATCTCAAACCAGGAGCAGTTTTTCTTGTCTCCAGTATACGTGCAGGGTAGGCTGCATCCGCCATTAACTGCAATAAACAAGCTCATCAACTCACTCACTACAAAGCTCATCACTAACCTCTCCAGAATTTACAAAGAACCAAACAGACTATATAATCTATGAGATGAACTAAACTAAACTGCGCTATAAAACCATATAATCTTCTTACTAATCCAATAACCGTTTTACTGATCATCACTACGTTTATGTGAATGTGACCATAACAATCACTTGAGCAACTAAAGTTGGTTTAAGCAAAAAAAAACCTTGGTAAGGGTGGCGATACCGCTCATCCTCTGCATAAAGTTGAGCACAACTCTTTCAGCAACAACAATCTTATGAGCATTCCCTGATACTTTCCCAAACTTCAACCCTTTATGAACATAATCTCCATCTTTCCGCATCCATTCAACCTTAAGAGATTCAACAACATCACTTAACCAAAAACAAAACAAAGATACAAACAAACGCACAAAACCCATTTCGAGGAATTTAAATCAAAACCTTCAAAGAGGGATCAACTTGCTCAAAAATCATCTCAGCAAGAGCAATTCCAGCAACAATCCCATCTTCCTTGGCCAAGAAATAAGCTTCAACCTCCATATCAAACGGTATCGTTGCCATACACGTCACATCTCCTACACACAAATCCATAGAACCCATCAAATAAAAATCGAAACTTTATGATACTACTAGTTAAAGAAGTGATGAGAGAGAGAACCTGTGTCACCAGCATCTTCAGCTAGAGCAAGTTCGATGACTGCTTTCAAATCGTAAGTAGGATGTGAAGGAGGCTTTATCGCCATTGACCCCTGTGGAACTCCTCCTCCTCCAGCCGTTTGAGTCGCAAAAGCAGACATTTTCACGACGCTCCTGAAACAGAAGTTCAAGAAAATTGAGATTAAACCCGAAAGAGAGAGACTGAAATTGGGTTTTGTCTGATTAAACCTTTGAATTGCGTATAATTGAGGCAGCACCAATCGGGAGACAGAGATCATTGCAGAACAACTTGACTCAAGTCTGTTTCTTGGTCCTTCCTCGTGGCAATTCTGTTAATACGCCTCAGGTGATAAGAATAGTTGGTTGAACAACTAAAATAACATGGGCTTTTTATTGAGCCAAGCCCACTTTAAATCAACAAAACATGTGATAATCAATGTTTACCAACAATTTTTAACCTTACACTTAACAATGCTCACAAAACTTGACATAAAAGTGAAATTGACATGATACATACATTTATTTATGTAAAACTGAGATAGCCTGTTTAGTTTTCTGTCTACTCAAAATTACTCTCTATAACTTGTTTATAATACCACTCTTTACAGAGATAATACGTTTAAAAAACTTCACACATGTTTTCATGACCCTGAACCAATATTAATTTAAATATATAATTATTATCGAGAATTTTTTTTTATATCTGAAATTTGGTATTGTTAATTAATAAAATATAAAGTTAAAACTTTTTTTAAAAATGAGAAACAACAAAAAACAGAAAATTCATTATTATGAAAAAGAGAGTATTACTAATTTAAAATGAAAATATATTAATTAATAAAAATAAATTACCAGAAAATGAAAAATAATAATTTCTGCTATGATATTAAAAGTAAATACAAAATAATAGTAATAATTATGAGACATCTCAACTGTATAAACTTACAGAAAAATAAATTATTATTTTTAAATCTATTATATTAAAAGAGAAGTCATGACTCACTTCATGTGTGATTTTTAATTTTGGACCATCCTTAGAAGTTTTATAAAATTTTACATAACATCATTATTATATCTTTTTATTTCTTTAATTTTTCTTTGAAATACAAATAGTTAGTTTTAAGAAAATTATAACAAAATCTTTTGAAAATCTTTTAGAATCTTTTCAAGATATAGTTTCAAAAATTATTTGATTCAAATTTTAATTATCAGAAAATATAATTAAAATTTTTAATTCAGTTTTTATTTATAAACAAAAAATTAAATTTATTTAAAAACTTTTAACAATATCCCAAAATTTTGTTTATGTATTATGTAGGTCCAACTTAATTTACTTTTTACATATATTTCCAATTTAGAAATAAAACAAAATATAAATTAGTAATGTTACATAATAATGTTTTTATTTTTTTTACAAAAATACAAATTTATAATTTTATATTAATAATATCATAAGCCACATAAATATTATTATAACATTGGATAGTATACAGAGTCAAATTATATTTATTTATTGATAAATCTTACTCTCTCTGTTTCTTAATATATAATGTTTGGGATCATTGTACAAAGATTGAGAAATTTATATTCTTTTACAAAAGTATTTTTAACATCATTCAACCAATTATAAAAAAAATAGTAAAATTGGTTGAACAGTTTCTAATAAAAAGTTAAAAAAATAACCTTAAAATCTTAAAATATACTTTAAAATTTCAAAACATCTTATATTTTGAAACAAAATAAATATTTTAAAACATCATCTAATTTGAAATGGAGGAAATATTATATAATTTCAAATATTTCGTATTAAAATACCCGCACGGTTGTGCGGGTCGAAATCTAGTTAGTAATTTAAAGCGTGAGAATTTTATTTTAAAGTGTTTTGAAATACTATATTGAACATTTGGATAAAGTTTTGTTTTCAATATATGAGATATCGATAATTACAATCTATATTTATTTTTAATTCTTTTTTGAGAAATGATGGAAACCTTCCAATAGTAAACATGTTCTTAAAACACCATTTTCTGGTTAAAAAATGAGTTATTTACCTAAAGTTGTTATTTTTTTGGTGGACAACGTGCTTCTTTCCCAATAAATTAAAAAAAATAATTAAAAATCTATAGAGATAGTGAAAGATGTAACAAAATTACACATGTATATGTATTAAAAATAATTACTTAATCTATAGATATAGTGAAGGATGAAAAAAAATTAATTACTGTTTATATAAGATAGACTTCATTTTTCTAAAAAAACTTGTGTTATTGGTTAGATTTACTGAAAATTAATCTATGTGCGGAGTGAATAAATAAAAAAAATAATTATTTTTAATCTATAGAGATAGTGAAAGATGTAATAAAATTACACATGTTTATATAAGATAAACTTCAATTTTTTAAAAAATTGTGTTATTGGTTAGATTTACTGAAGTATAATTCATAGAAGTAAATCTATAAGTGTAAGTAATAATTTATATAAAATTAGTTATAATTTTAAGAAAAACGAAATATAGACAAAAAAATTATTGATTCTTAATAGAAATTAGGAATATAAGATAAAACAAAACATGTGTAATAAAATAATAATATGAAAGGAACAAATTATAAAGAAACATAAATTGAAAAAACTATTTCGATGATCACTTCTTCAAGAGTAATTAAGTATTGCTTTCAAAGTCTTATAACTTTCATCTTAAGCTTCCACATAGGCTTTTTAGCTTTAAGTCAGAGATAAAATTCATGACATTCAATTTCTTTTTTAGTTTAATTTTTTTAAATTGTGTTACTTTAGCTTAAAGCTTAGTACTTCCTCTGTTTCAATTTACATGTCATTATAGAATAAAATTTTAAGTTAAAATAATTTTTTTTTTTTACAATTTTAATGCAAAATTTAATAATTTTATATGATATTTTATTTTTATTGGTTGAAAAGTGGTTAGGTGTATAGGTAATTGAGTGTTTTATCTTATAAATATATAATATTAAATGGTTTTTAATTTGTGTGCAAAAACCTAAAATGACAACTAAAGTGAAATGGATGGAGTATGATATAATGATATATATAGTCATAACGGATAGGATATAGACCACAAGAATTAAATCAATCAAATATTCCATCGCGAGATTAATGGTAAAATTTCATGTATAATTTTAATTGATCATGAAAATTGTGTATATATTAATAGTAACTTTCCTACATTAACCAAAGATGGATTGCATTATGTCGTTTGCATATATTAGTTTCCAATAATTTTGTTTTATTTCATAAATTACGGTTAAATATAAAATTATAAAAAAGGAATCAAGTTAATATAAGAAACTAATATTATTGTCTGACAAGATTAAAAAAAAACATTAATTCCCACCATTTTTTTTTACATTTTAGGGTTGATCCGCATTTTTTTTATTGCTTAATATAATGGTTGATGTTAGAAACCAAATTAAATCTAGAGAGAGTTCGTATTGATTCTCTTTGCATTATATAACGGTTGAGCTTCTCAAACAAGGTTTTGTCATAGTTAATTAAATTAATATGCTGATCGCGATTATATTTACATATTCTGTTAACATGTGGTTGAGCCAATAAATTTATATTAGTGAAGTTTTGATGTGTATTTTCATTTGAGTTAATATAGGTTGTTTGATATGATTCTTGTGTAAGAGATTCTATATTAATTTCTTAAATTTTGGCTTGCCCATAATTATGACTATATTTATGAGATCAACAATATACGTTACAAATCCGTACCGTAAAATATTCAAATTTTATAGTTATAATATCTATCATTATGATATTTCCTAAATCCATTTATGACTATAATCCATAGGTGAATAGTGATCACATTATATTTTTTTTTATATTCACCCAAGTTTTTAATAAATAACATATGTTTACACCAGATCATATTATATTATAATATAAATTGTTAGTAAATATAATTCATTTTTTAGGGGAGCTCATCCAAATAATATATATACATATTATTTTAAATAAACAAAAACGTTAGTAAATATGAACTGTTTGAAGGAAAAGTTAGTCAAAATATGGTTGAAACATAGCTATATATATGTATATATCTATATATAATTATATATATGTTACAGAAAATTACAAAACTTAGCTATATATATATAATATAGGGTGAATTATAGTATTAGAAATTATTGTACATCTCATGAATCAGTAAACTTAAGTATTTCAACATTTAAATGACAATTTAAAAGTTCATTTATAAATGAGTTATTAGTAACACTAGATCTTTTGGCCGCGCTATGCGCGGCTAGTCTGTTAAACAAAATATCCAATCATATTGTTTATATATATATATATATATATATATATAATATTGTATAACTAAAATTATAATTAAAAACGTTAAATTAAATTATAAAAAGATAATAATTGAAAAAAGCATTGTAGTTAATGCAAGCAAAAATTTCATAAATAATACTAATAATGAAATTTTTTTTTTACAAAATATAGATTTTCTAGTTTTTTTAATAGAACCCTCAATTTATTTTTGGTATAAATAACTTACATAATAATTATTGTAATATTTTAATCTGTAGTCTTATATTTCTTATCTTCAAAATGTTGGCAGAAAATAATCACTATCAAAATCTAAAAATTAACTATATAAAATGAATGTGACTTTTATTTAAATTTAAAATGATATTATAGAAATTTAAGATTTTATATATATTGTTCTTATGAATAATATTTATTTCTTCTATTTATATATAAATTGGATGATATTAATTTATCCCTACCATCAATTTTTTGAATACCAAACCGAGCATTGACTTGATATTGCAGTTAGGTTAATGGTCACACCAGTCCAACTGGGTTGTAAATTTATTTTAATTTCAAGTTAAGTATCTATATATATGTATAACTATAACATTATTTTATAAGACGTTTTATCATTGTTTGAAGCTAAAATGATATGAAAATAAAATGAAAAATTCAAAAATAGAATAAAAATAATGAAAAATAATTTATTTAAATAGATATTAAAACAATACAGGTTTTATAAATGTTTTTTTTTAAAATTTACATTTTTAACTTGAATTTGAAAAAATTCAGGGTTTAATATCAAATTGGACCATCGGTTTTAGCGAGTAACAGGTTCTTAAAC